TATTATAAAGCTAGATTTATTAAAATTATATATATCTTTATTAGTAATACTATACTTTACCTTTATATTATCTACTAGGTTAAACTATATCTAAATAATTATAGAATCTTCTTACTTTACTCTCTAATAGTTATACTTATAATTAAGCTATATTTTAAGCTTAGAATAGCGCGTAATAAAGTAGTTTAGCTAGTTCTTATCTATAACCTTTCTCTCTTACTTAGTAAGTAGCTAATTAGCTATATCTTAAATAGTAGTAAGCTAGAAGGTAAATTTTTACGCGTCTAGATCTAGTATATACTTAACTATTACCTACTCTTTATTTATAGTAAGCTTTATTAAATTAGATATCTTTTTACGTCTTTAAGTTACTCTATTACGTTAATCGCGAATTTGCTTCTAAGGTACGTTATAGAAGTTACTAATACGTTATAAGCTTAGCTCTAGATTCTACTAAATAGTCTAAAGCGTAAGCTATATCTAGAATTTATCTAAAGTTAATTAGGCGTTTATAAAGAGCTTTATAATAGAGATAGTAGTTTTTAGTAGAGACTTAGTATTTTTAGATAGTTTAGTAGTATAGGTAGTTTGCTAGTAGAGTATATTAAGTACTTATTATATCTCTATAATAATCTATAAAACTTATACTATATAATATATATAACCTAATAAAGACTTCTAGAAAACTTTTATAGAGCTAGCTCTTCTAGATATAGTATAATAAGAGATAGAAGTTAGAAAAATATCTTCTTTAGAGTTTTCTCTTTTAACTATATATATATATATATAGTTAATCTAGCTATATAAACTTATTATTATATAAATTATAGTAGGCTTTAACTATATAGAGCTTATTAACTAGTAATATAGTAGCTTTAAGTAGTTATTTAAAAGTAAAGTCTTTTTAGTAGTATAGTATAGAAAGATAGAAAGATACTAAAACTATCTTAAAATTATTACTTCTAAATATATAGTAGGCTTATAGTATATATAATCTTATAATTTATAACTTTATATAGCTAGATTATTTATATATATCTATAGTTAGAGAAGAAAATTCTAGAAAGATTTTTTTAAACTTCTATCTTTTATTACGCTATACCTAGAAGAGCTAGCTCTATAAAAGTTTTCTAGAGACCTTTATTAGATAATATATACTATATAATATAAGTTTTATAGATTATTATACAGATATAATAGTACTTAATATACTTTACAAGCGAATAGCCTATATAAGCAAACACTCTAAAAATACTAAGTAAGAGAAAAATTAATAAGTATTTCTTAAATAACTAAGCAAAACCTTAATATCTTTCTATAAAATTTTAAATATATAT